AGTTAGCAAGAATTGAACTATCTGAAAATGCATGTGATACAGAGATGGAAGAAGCTGATGCACAGCTTACGCAGAGTGCACCAATACTGCAAGAAGATTCTCCCATTTCACAAACTGAGTATGTGTCTCCTAATACAAGTTGTGCAGGCACGAACTTGATTTTAAGCAAGGATACTTGTGTTTATGAAGAATCGGATTCCGTTCATGACCCTGATGCAAACATCGGAACTGTCTTTCAAGAAATAGAGGTAAATAAGCATGTACCACCTTCTAAAAATACCAAGGTAAATTGTAGGCATGCTGCAAATGAACTACAAAGTGGTAAACAAACTGTTTCCGATCTTCCTATGGATGAAAAGTCTGAAAGGACTGAATCTTCAGACTGTGATATGCAAAACAGAAATGCATCTGAGAAGTGCAGTGGAAAAGTATTTTATTAATGAAAAGACTTAGACTGAAATTCATTCTTAACTTTAATTTGTATAATTTAAAATTGTGATGTATTTAATTTGTGTATGTAACTTGTACATAGTGTAAATATTTGTTTCTTTAGTTATGTTATCTGTATGTTTTAGCGATTTGATTGTATCGAATTTGGCTTCTGACCAAGGGTTGTACTGCCCGGGTCGTGCAGTCCTTGGGAGGGGGCAGTGTTACGAAATGTACAGGCGCAATAAGATGGCTTCCCCGCAAAGCAGTTTTAGGGTTGCCATAAAATGACACGGGGAGGCAGGATTGCTACATTTGGCGAGAAATCGCCAATTTGGCGATGACAATTGCCGATATGCCGTGGATGGATGGAGAACCTTTTGGAACGAATTCTTACCGGTTTAGTCCAGCATGTTCTTGAACACAAGTCGAAAGCTATATAAACCGGTCTGCAGTCAGTTAGTGTCTCAGAATGTGCCTCGTTGAGAGGGCGAGTGTGTGTGCCTCGTCTAGTAGCACCAAGCTGGTCACCGAGTGAATCGAGAGAGTCTTTTAGAGCATCGTCGAGTTTTGTTTTAGACTGTGCTGAGTCGAGAGCTATACTCTTGTGTATCGTCGAGTGCATCGCATGGAGAGTCTCCAGAGTACGTGGAGTTCCGAGAACGACCAAGCAGAGTTGGGAGCTGTACTCAGATCCTTTGCAGTGAAGCTGTGTCCACCGTTATTGCCTAACAGTGTGAAGGCTGTGTCGCTGATCATGTCAGCGTGTTTGTAGTAATTCATTGACAACTGTAAACATATTTTGGAACTGTTCTGACAATACTGGCCAATAAAGTGTGTTTCGATACTTCATCAAGTAGTGTTGTCGTTATTCACTCCAAATCCACATGAACCCCGTACGAATGTGAAGGAAAAAAATAACGTAACAACTGGTGTCAGAAAAGAGAAAAACGCAACAATATATATATATATATATATATTTATGTAATGGCGAAAAATAACTGCTTGATCTAAGTAAGAAAATTTCTTGGTATGCAGTGCTTAAATGTGAGAATAAATGTAAATGTGCTTAAATGTGGGAGGTTTTATACTCTTTCTGGGACTCACATGAGAACTGCTTATAGATGTGATGCATTTTAAAAGACTTTAAGTGAGAACTGTGTAACAGATGTAAGATGTATTTAACACTCCATATTATGCACATGCGATATTAGAACATATATGGATACATTGTATCTAACAGATTACTATACCTAGTGTTTTTTGCGGATTTTTTTTTAAAGTATTAAAATTAATCTTTGTTAATCTGCATAGTATGTGCCTAATATCAGGTCCATTATGAGGATATAACTTTCAAATATTAATTTGCTGTATTTCCTTTGATTATTTAAAAAAAAAATTATTTTTATCTACTGCATAAATTTTAAAGGGCAAATATTTAAAACAGGTGTTTTCAACCAGAGGACAATTTCCTCCTGGCGGAAATTTTTACCTTCAGGGTAAAATGCAGTCAGCCTTTTATTTAGCTGTTAAGTGTTTAGTGTACGAATATAAATAACTGGTTTTTAAGTATTGGTATGTATCAACATATCGTATACTCTTTAGTATATAAAAGCATGTTAAAAATAATTTAATCTAAGTAATTGTATATATGTATTTTTCAAGTTTTGGAGAAAAATGGAGATAATCTTATAGGTCTATAAGACAAAACAGGCTGAGAAACATGTTTAAAATGTATGAAAATTTTCTCTCTGTGTATTACATAAATGAAAAAATAACTATACAAAACTTTAAATCAAGCATCAAACAATAAACATTTTGTACGGAAACTGACAACTTAATTTGCTTGTGTGTCAGACTTATTAAAGTAAAGGAATAGTAAAGCAACTATAATACAGGAAAAAGTTTAAAGAATTTTTTATTAGAACCTTAAACTTAACAAATGCTTAGTTTGTGCTTACAAAATTCATCTCTGCTGCTTGAGGATTCAAGCTAACCTAAAACTATTAAAACAGAGTTTAAGCATTTAATACTTGAAATTTACAGTTCAAAATCATATTAAGCTTTGGCTCAGATTTTTCAATACATTAACAACATGGCTAGCAAAAGCTTAAAGCAAACTTGTGTAATTTTACAAACTGGGTGAGAGGATCACGAAGCTCAGTGTCATTGCCAAAAACTCACTCCCTAACTTCAAGAACTCTGTTCTCATACACATGTTGTCCTCGGGGAGCAGACAGAGGGACAGTACGAATAAAATATTAAGATAATGGCTTAATTAAAATAAAACCTTACAATATAATTAATGAAATTCGGCATTTTTGTAATGTTAAATTCAGTATTGGTAATGTCTGCACACAGAATTTAGCATAGGATCAAATTTTTGCAAGTGATGATGCATATAAAAATTCTGATAGGAAGTAGCACACATCATCATTATTTAAATTAAATTGTGAAGCAACTGACAGATAATGTATTTTAAGTGAAAGTTTGCCAAGAATGTTGCTTTGGTATCCAAAAAAAAAAAAAATAAAAAAATGCAACACTGCAAATCAACCTTGAGTGAGGTGTTTTCGGACTAATTTTATCATTGAAATACACATAAAATTTTTTATGGCTTTTTATTATTTATTATTTTTTTTATATAACCATAATTTTTTTTATCTTCAATCTCTGTTAAAAGTTTGACTTTTTGGAGTGTATTTTTTATGGCTTTTTTTTATTTATTATTTTTTTTTTATATAACCATAATTTTTTATCTTCAATCTCTGTTAAAAGTTTGACTTTTTGGAGTGTATTATTCAAATATCTTTTTAACTTCATTTAATAAGCCATCATTTTGTATGATGGTTAGTGGCACCAGCTGCCATATTGGTAGGTCCAGGTTTTAAATCTTGGAGAAGGCATGGATGTTAAGGCTCATCCACATGAGTATGCTCGCGATGTAGTTGACACAATTTCTCTTTTCCCGGCATAAATTCGCATTATGCAGAGGACATAAAATTAAGTTCGCTCATGTTCAGCTTTTTCACCCGCGATGTGGACGAACAGCCAATAGCTGATTGAGTTCTTATGAGGTGTCATAATTGGAAAATCTTGCTTACCTGTTTCAATATGGCATCAGATTAATTCTTTGTTCAGTTTTAGATAAAAGCTTGTCTTATAAAGACATTCTTTTTATCTTATTTTATTTTCATCTTTTTAGTCTCAATGACACATTGTCAATTAAATTATTCGGTTGAAAAATCACTGTTTTACTTTTAACAGTTCTGTTCATTCAAAATGGTTGATAAACGATATGAGAAATAGCATTAAAAATTTCATATAAATGTCATTCAAAAGATTCCTGCCCCCTCAATCACATGATACAAATGATAAAATTTTGAGAGTTTTAGTTTATTTGTTAAATGAAGATATGTGTAAACTATCATTTAATTGTATTTTGGAGAACATGTTACTGCTCTATACTGTATTATCATTCACACTGAACTTGTGCACAAAATTGGAGCTAGATAGCTATCAGGAAGCAGTGTAAGAAAAATAGCAGTGTAAAAAAATTGAAGCAATGTTTTAACCGCAGCAACACAGTATAAATGAGTGAAGGAAAAAGTTTTTAAAAATGTGTTTAATTTGAAATTACGTTTAAATAATACTTATTCTTGTTTTAAAAGAGGGCAAAGATTTTGCTTTATTAACATTTAAAAATTTTAACAGATACATTTTTCAGTGTTAATGCTGAGGAAAACGTATGTAAACTTCTGAAATGGAAAAAAAAAAAAATAAATAAATAAAAATCAACAGGATAGGTTTCATTCTAAATAATTTTAAATGCTAATCAATACTTAAATTCTATTGATTTTGAGATTAATGAATGAAATGACTAGTAAATGCAAGATAACCATACAGAAGCAATAAGAATCATGTGACATGTAGTGACATTATAATTTTGAGAGTGATATTTGCAAGAAATGCAATGGTCAGAAGAACTGATTTTTTCTCCACTTATGCTTAAAACATATTTTTTTTTTAATAAATGTAGAACATTTTCATATTTTTTTTAATTCTTGTTTGAAAAGAGGGCAGAGTGTTAGTTTAGTAATCTCTGGAAATTTCAAACATTTTTTGGAGATTAAAATTGTTGCGAAAAAATTGAGCAATTTTTTTAATTTGCGAAAAATTCATAAATTAAGTTAGAATTTTCATATAAGTTTTATTCAAAAGTTTTTTTCCCTCTATATGATAATGCAAATAATAATGTTCTGATCTTTTTTTTTTTTTTTTTTTTTTTTTTTTTTTTTTTTGTTTGTCTGTTAATTGAAGATATGTGTGAAAAATCTTTTAAGCATTAAATTAAAAAAAACTGAACTTTGGAGAGGTGAACCTTGTCACCACATTTTACTCTGATTGACAAACTGCGTGTATACAGGATTCAATACTCCTCAGAAAGTACTTTAAAAACTTATGACAAAATATTGACCATAATGACAAGCATGAGTAAACTAAATAAAAGCTTTTAAAATGTGCTGAATCTCCTGTGTTCTAATTTTAAGATTTTTTGCATCTTTTTTTAGGAATGTACATGCAGGATCTAAAGTTTGGGCAATGAAGACTACTCTTTTAGGTATATGGGTGAAAGCAACAGTTTTATCAGTACGTTCCACTCAAGAACCAACAATATATAAAGTGCGCTTTGATAATTTTAAAACTTTGGGACCTAAAGTATTCAATGGTAAGAGTCTAGCATACATGACACCTTCAGAGGTATCTGTGCCAGTTGGAACCAGAATAATTGGTAAGAAATATTCAATACACCATTTTGAATTGAAAAAGTTTATGAGTACATATAATTTTATTTCTATTCTTGGTCTTATGTTTAAGAACTTTTTTAAAATTTTCTAACTTAATTAAATACTTATTTCTTTCTCTCTTTTTTTTTAATTCCCCAATCTTAAGTAATACTATACTAAAACTATTATATTACATAGCTGTCTGTAATTTAGAAATGGATACATTGCCAGGTATTGTCAGGTTTTTTTTTAAATTTCATCATGTAAAATATGAACTCCTAAACAGTCCCCCCCCCCCGTCTTTATTTTTTCCCATCCCTTCAGTTTCAACCCTTACATCATTCTTTATACACATTGAGATTTTCTCTTTTAACTAACTACTTTATAATGATGGAGTTAGCATGTATAACTCATAACACATAATTCTGTCCAGTTTTTTTTTTTTTTTTAAACTTTAAAGACAGTAATTTTATTTAAAAAAAAACACCAGACTATTTGAATGATAAGTGTATTTTTCCATATGCCACTTATTAATTATTACATGACTTACAGCTTAATAATTATTACATTACTTAAGAAAATTATTGCAGAAAAAAAGTAGTAAAATATCTGTAAAAATGCAGAATTGTTGTTTTGCACATACTTTGAAATATTGTTAGGAAGTGTCTTTTTTCTTAAGAAAGGCTGGAGAATTATTATAATGCAATAAACAAATATACCATAGAGAAATCAATTACACAATTTTATGATGACAGTTTAATTGTACACTAAAACCAACAGCAAAAATGTGTAATTAATTCCTCCCCCTAACAAATTGTAACTTAATTTTATACTGCAACAGCTGCATTTTTTAGTGTTATAGTAATGTGCATATTTCATACAAAAAGGACTTTCTTTCAACTATAATATGTGGAATAATTTCAATATACTCAAGTAGTATGATAGATTAACTGTAAGGAATTTTTTTTATTTATTTATTTACTCTTATCATTTATTTTTTAAGGAAGTAATTATTGGAATGGCTTTATAATTTTTTTGGAGGGGAGTATATTTATTTAATTGCATTTTGTTGAAAGTGATTCAGTTTATTTGATCAGCAATAATTTTGTATTTTTTTGTATTGCAGCCCGTTACACAGATGAAGTTAAGTCGAACTTGTATGCTGGAATAGTTGCTGAGCCACCTAAAGTTACCAATCGTGGCAGGTAATTCTTTGGCAGAATTATTTTTGCTGTAAATACTTGATTATCTGGAAAGCTTGAGAAATGCCAAATTCCAGATATGGGGAAATTTTGGATAATTTCCCCATATCTGGAATTCAAAGTAGAAGAGCCAAAATGAAGAGAAGAAATTTCCGGTCTAAATTTATAAAAACTGTTGTCTTATTTATTACTAACTTGATAATCGAAACCCCACATTTAAAATTATACAAGATCTTAGTGGATGTATTTCAGACATAAAAGCTGACATATTTTGTAGGCCTTAAAAGTAAAACATGTTATCCTATTATAAAATTCCACTGAACGTGAAAGTTGGTAAACTTGTGTCATTTATTCTGACAGAAGTTTAATAGAACAGTTATATATATATATATATATATATAATTGAAATTGAAAATGAAAAGCTAATAAGTATTGTGTTGTAAGACCTATTTGGTCTTAAAAATTTTTTGCACAATATGCTGCAAAAATTATGAAATAATAAGAAGAAATATTGTAGTGAGCTCGCCAAAAAGTTACCAGGAGCTGTGGCTCCAAGAAATACTTCAACGCAGTATCTTTTAAAATAATAACATTGAAGCGTGAAAATTTAGCCTACACGCGAAATTAAAATGCAGAAAATAAAACTTAAAATCAATCGTTGGAAACATGTGAATGGCAAAAAATACAGTAAAAACCTATGAATGTGATAAGTGAAAAGTTAACACATATAAAAAACTGACCGACGGAACAATTTAAAGCAAAATTAAAACATATGAAAAACATAAAATTACAAATCGGAAAATGGTAAATTAGCCTAATTAGACTTCCAACCTAGCTTTTCAAGGGAAATTTCAGTTGAAAGTCGAACCAAGCTAACACCATTACGCGTTTTGCCAAAACAGACAACTGAAGCTCTTGTGTGACGAAAAATTTTTTTAATAATATGAATTGTCCCAAAAAATCTTTTGGAGCTTCAATTCTCTGTTCCAATTTCCCGACCCGTCCGCAAAAAATGACACATTAAGGTGTAAAAAAATGCAAATGCAACTCCGAGTAAAGCTAAAATTAAAATAAAATAAATTAAATAGCGGTCTGCTATTAATCAAACTATACAATAACGTATGGGCTGGACCTGCAAGCTTAAAGAATAAAACTTTTATTAATTTTATAGTTCTGAAATTAAATTCAAATGAAAATAAACGCCTAAGACCAAGAAAATTTTTTTTAAAAAACACAAATAAACAGAAAAAACAAACCTGTGGCTATGCTGTCCTCCTGATTGCGAAGCAAATTTGAAAAGGGGTTGTAATCCCCTCTGTGTCTTTCAAAGCCATCCCTCTCGTTGTGTGAGGTAGACGGGTGAAACAATGTCACTGCGTATCAGCCAATGCGATTAGATTGTTCTTTCGCGGGAACTTGTACCCACCTGAGTTAAAGAGGCATTGAAAGACTCTAAAAGACATGGAAAGAATCCAAAATGGCGTCAGTCAAGTTGTTAGAAGAATGAAACTGTTTGAAAAACTTGAAAATGGCTAATTCAGCAAAGATTACTCAACATGGCCACAAAAGTAAGAGTAAAATGGAAAAAAGTCGTTTGTTAATAAAAGTCTTAATTCTTCAAGCTAGAGGGCGATCAAGCTACAATGAAAAACGAAAAGGCCCGATTTGTTAATAAAAGTAGAAATGGGCATCAAAGTAATTTAAAACTATTAAAACAATAGTACTAAAGTATTGTGCCAAAATCTTTTGGAGGAAAGAAATTGTATTGACAAGAATTATCTGTACATTTTTACATTAGATTCTCTGAATCAGCCATCCACTTTATACCATCCCAATATGCTTTAAGTATAAAATTTCATTATCTAACTCAAATTATCTAAAAATTGGTAAGGCTAATGCCAGGTTTTTTAAGGTATTTTTAATTATTTTATTAGGAATTAGGTTATTTTTCAAAATTATCACGAAATAAAGTATTTCTTCTTTAAGGTGTTCTGTTGTATTGCATATTCTTTTTATTCTAAGTAGCTGTGGATAAATTGTGTTTAGGATGATTGTTTTGGAAATATTTGAATTCCAGTTGGTTAACTTTACTGTAAAAAAATTAAATTCTCTTCTCTTGTCGTGAACTTTTATAAAATTGTAATCAATAATATTCAAGTCAAGGTAGACTACATTATTTTGCACCGTATTTGTATTATTTAGTTTTAAGCAAGTGGGGTAGATATTAGCAATTTCTATTTTGTTCTGGTTGTTAAAGGCTATGATATCATCAATATAACAATATATGTGTTGACAAAATTTATGTTCTTCTTTACTGAGTGAACGGACAAAGGTCAATTCTTTTGTAAAAAGGAGTAACTCACATACAGAACTGGGAAAATTACCTCCCATTGGATTCCTTGAATTTGTTTAAAGATGCTATTGTTAAATTGAATAAAATTATTGAAAAGCACGGTTGAGAGAAAAAGCTGCCATTTTTCGGTACTTATTATGGTAGAAATTTGCGGAATTATATCCGGTAGAGCAAGTAAGCTTGTATATATTTCTTTAAGTGGTAAGGTAGTATAGAGGTTTTCGAAGTCGTAGCATTGTATATGGTCTATTTTAAGTGAATTTATAGTTTTTAGAACTAGCTCGTTACTTGAAATCATCCAGTTGCAATGTAGATCCTTAAAATCATAGTTATTAATTAAGTCACATATTAAGCGAAGTTTTTTTGCAAAAAGGATAATCTATTTCTTTAAGATAACTTTTGGTACTTTTGGCAATGAACCTGAATTTAATAGGAGACTTATGAAATTATGGTAGTGCATAGAGATTGGCAAATCTGTTATTATATTTTCGGGGATGTCTTTTATGTAGTGCGTTAAATTTATTGAGACGAATTTTAGTGCTGGTAGTAATTTTTTGGTAAGTGCCATTGTTATTTAATTAATTATGCAGAAGGTAGAAGTAAAACTTTTTTCAAATAACACTAAAATTGTTGCTGGCTTTGTCAATGTTTGTAATGATAAAGTCATCTTGCTGTTTTTTAATAAGATTATATAGCTGCTTTTTATTGTGTAAAGAGTTGAAATAAGGCGTCTTGAAAAGTAAATATTGAAATTCTTTAATTAGTGCAGCTTTCCATTCAAGAAAAGTAGTAGTGGGTGAATTGGATTTATTACTAACTAAGATGATAAATTTATCTAGATCTTGATTGAATTGTTTGAGGCAAAAGTGTTTATTGATACTGAAAGTAGGATGAAATTTGGTTCCAAGTTGTAAAAGGGCTCGTAGTTCTAAGTCTTCAATGATATTGAAGATCTCCAGTTATAACATGTTGGTGGAAAGGATCGACATATTTATGGTAAATAGGCTAGTATGGCAATTACATATGCTATTTTCTTGTACAATTCGTGGTGGTTGATAACTAGAGTTGACCTAAGGTCTTTTCAAATTTAAAACAGAGCTTTAATTTGAAGTTTTTGGGTCAGGAAGCAAGTGTTGATATTTTTTTTTAAAAATGCTTGGTATTTTTAGTTGATCGTAATAAGGGTGCTTGAACTGTATAGTACAGTAAAACGTTTTTTGTGAAAAAAATTATTACTATTTAGTTTAAAATTGCAAAAGTCAATAATTAAGTCTTTATCTATTTGTAAACATTGAGAATGTTGATCTATTATTTTAATCAGATTCCACAAAGTAGTATTCTTAAATGTGTGAAGAAGTTTAATGGCATTCTTAGTGAATTCTTTATGGTCAAGGAAGGAATTAAGATTTTTAATTATTAATTTCAGATCTTGTAAAGAAAAAAATTTTTGGTTTTTGGAATCACCTCCTCTCATACCTCTGGTAGTAATATTGCTAAAAAATCTGAATTGTCCATATACTGAGACTTCTGTCTGTCTATTGGTGGTATGACTTAGATAGGCATTCAGTCCATAAGGATACAGTGACTTTTTTTGAAGTATGTAAATGGATTCCTTAAACAGTCTAAGTTTGGTGTTTGGTACAATATCAAGCACAGTAATTTCTATGTTATCAAAATTATGTATATTATAATGCTGACTATTTTTTGTGACATTATTATAAATTTTTAATATGAGATCTATGATTATTAATTCTGAGGTTGAGACAGTTTTTTGTTTGACCTATATACGTGAGGGAACATTTTTTACAGGTGATTTGGTAGATACAATTGTGAGTCTTTCATAGTGATTGTGTTTTACTAGATTTAGTAGGAAGTGGAGTAGCATTAGCCTTACAGGTTTTTCAAAGCATGTTGCTTCATTTAATTATCTCTATGTTATTGATCTGAGCCAGTGAATTGAAAGTAAAGAGGGAGCTAGCCTGCTTTACAGTGTTTTCGGAAGGAAGACTAACCTATCGTAAAAGTGGAACTGTAAACAGTATCCGGTAACTCAATAGCTATAGCTTAAAAAAAGTTAAAATCAAAATTCATCTAAAACTTACTGAAACTTTTAGTGCTTATAGCTGCTAAAAAGAAATAAAATTGAAAATGAAAAGCTAATAAGTATTATATATACTTATTAGTATATATAATATTAGTTATGTATATTAGTATATACATAAATAGGTAGTGGTTTGACCTTTTTTTGTCTATGGTCTCCTTTCACATTTGCCAGACTGTCATCCCCTTCCTTTCCAAAACTTGAAAAATACATGTACATTTATTTTTAATGTTTTTTATAAAAGAAGAAAAATTATAGAAAATGTTCATAAGTACAAAAACTTTAATAAATGTTTATATATATATATTCATAAAATAAAACTGAATACTAAACAGGTAAATAAAAGGCCAACTGCATTTCCACACAAGAATAGTTGAATTATGGATATTCAATACAAAGTGTGAAACCAGGACATCCAATATTTATAATCCAAACCTCTGTATCACCATGCTTTAGGCTTGCAAATTCTTCCCCCCCTTAATAAAATGGAAAGAGTCCAATTTCTTAAATTTCACCTCAGCACTAATGCCAACCTGACGAATCATTTATTATTTTTTGCTTCCATTGCAGCTTCAGAAATAACTCATACAACAATGGCTAAACATTTTTTTTAAATATTTGTCATTTAAATTTTGTTGTTTTTTAAATATGAAGAGCTTGGTAACATTTTATGTTAACATTACACTTCATGATGATTTACAGACTTCTGCGAAGTATTGAGCTAGTTAATGAAGATAAATTTAAATTTATCTCCATATCCAAAAAATACATTTTGTAAGTGATACTCATAGGCCAAAGGTTATATTTAGTGCTGTTTGACCTGAGAATAACTGATTTATTATTCAAATAAGCCCAAAATTGATGCTAGAGCTGGTGCAGCCTCACCAGGTGGTATAATTTAGGAAAGGCAAAAATTTTTAGGATTTAATGAAACACTGAGCAAAAAAATTAAGTGACGATAAAAATTTTAGAACTCGGGATGGCACATGGCGGTGCACCAAATATCTAACACTGCCTGTTGGATAAGCTTTAACCCTCTCAGTGTTACGGCCAGAAAATTCCGTATAGAAGACTGCCTCCTATATTCATTACAAATGAAAATTTATGCTAGCTTTTAATGTATTTGAATTCGGTTTGGATGTTATTGGAAGAAAAGGAATCAAGGTACAAAATGAGAGATTCATTTTTTAATTAAAATCAAGAAAAATTCACTTATTCATGACATTTTGAGGAACTTTGAAATTTCAGGGCTAAACTCATAACGCTCGGAGGGTTAATATATGTAGGAATTTATTTATTTAGGACTCAAGCATGCATGGGAAATAGACATATACAGGTAAATAAAAGGCCAAAAATAAATCACTAACATAATTCAAACTTAACTTCATCAGTGTGCAAAGCAAGACAGTTTAGCAAAATATGTCTTAAGTTGCCAATTTCATGATACTTTGAGAATAGTGCATAGTGGATGCTCACTAAGGTTTATGATGATCTGTGAATCTGGAGGTTGGCAGATATTACAAACTACAAGTAAAAGTCAAATTTTCCAAGTAAGGGAATTTGTAAAGTACAGTCAAAAGTCGTTAATTCGGACACCCATAATCCGGAATGATCTATATCCGGACCTCAAAGCTAAAATCTTTCTGCGCATGCGCCGCGTCGACGCATGCGCCGCGTCGACGCATGCGCATAGGCGTTTTATCCGTGCGCGCAAGACATTTACGACTGCGCATATGCGTCTGCACAAGTGCAGAATACGTTTTCGCGTGCATGTTTAATGTATAACGGACGGTATAAGCTAAAATTATCTAATTATCTATTTCAGTTAATGTTGATGACTGCATTGTTCCTTAATCTTCGAATTGGATCCGGCTTATTATTTTTTGCAGACTGTAAGAGCAATTTTATAAAAGTAAGCTTGAACTTTCGATTATGTCAAATAGAATTTCCGATGGTGGAGCTCCCAAAGGATCTAGAAAACGAAAGTATGTTTCGATGTCCATCAAACAAAAAACGAATTGCTACAAAAAATGGATAAAGGCATATCCTTTGTTTATCTAACCATTCCGAAATCTGTTTATCAATTTCACGCTGCTCTGCACGGGGGGGGGGGAGACGTCGCGGCGGGCAATGAACTGGAAGTTGATCTGTCAACACTATCGTTATCTTCAGGGCAGATGTTCTTATTTTATTTGGCTTATAATTCCTTACTAAATGTAGTATTTAATCTCGATGTACTCCGTCTTTGATATGATTTAAATCAAATTCCTCGTCATTATAAATATCCCGAATACAAATCAAATAGTTTTCTGGTTGCAATTTTCTAATTTATGCGTAAGGTATGCTTTACGCATGCGCGCGTTGAAAGAAATGTTTAATAAAGTAAACAAAGAAATATTAAGCTTCTTTTTTGGTAAGTTTTGATACCCTTTAGATCATAATTGCTCATTATTTTATAAATTACGGTTTTCATATTTTTAATTTTATAATTTCTGCATGCCATCTTACCAGATTTAAATTGATGATCTATAATCCGGAAAAATCGATAATCCGGAATCGCCGAAGTCCCGACGAGTCCGGATTAAAGACTTTTGACTGTATTGGTAATAAATGATATAACAAGATTATTTCATTGTGATAACAATGCACCAATCATCAGTCAGCTAATGGATGGCGAGATCTGTAGTATGGTCTAAAGCCAGAAAATATTGCTGCTGATGGTGAAGAAAGTGACAGAGATGTTGTTGAGAACAAAAGCAAAAAACAAAAAAAAAAAAAAAAAAAAAAAAAAAATCTATTTCTAAATTGAGGGAAAATTTTCGATATGGCACTAACTGGACTTACAGTGGCAAACAGTGGAACTTTGTAGTTGAACAAAAAATTATCTATCTGTGAAATTAACGAGAAAATATTAGCACAAAAAAAGAAGCAAATCAAGTAACTTACATTGAATGAAATGTTTAATAAAGCAAACAAATAAATATTGAATTTTTTTTGGGGGGAGAGGGATAAATTTTGATTTTGTTGAGGTCATAAATGCTTCATTATTTCATAAATCACTATTTCATATTTTTAATTTTATGATTTCTATATGTCATTTTCCTAGATTTAACTTGATGGTGTAACATCTGAAAAAAATCCCAAATTCAGAATTGTCTAAAAGTCCTGATGAGTCGAGATCTCCGACTTTATACCGTATGTTTATTTTTCAAGTTCTGGAAAGGAATGGGAGAACGTATTAAAACTTAAATCATTTATCATAATTTTTCATTGCCATTGCTTATCCGTTTTCAAACAAAATCACATTTTTTTTTTTTTCTTATTTAAAAACACATAGACTCCCTGTGCACCGCATATGTACAACACAGAGCTTACAGAAGTAAGTTAATTAAAACATTAAAAGTTACATGCATAAATAAAATGAACAAAAGCAGAGAACAGCAGTCTGGACTTCACGAAAACAGATAAGTTCACTGGCCTATTAAGTCACTCCGAACATTTTGAAATCGTTCTGCAAGCATAATCTAGGGCCATCAAATGTAGGACATGAGAAAATCTAATATTCGCTCATCGGGCCTTTTTTTTAATGCCAGGATCCTGTGACTTAGAAACTACCCTACTGCATGATGTCCAATGGAATGTGGTCCCAAATTTTAATTATTGTTTCAAAATGTAATGAAGAAACAGAACTTGTATCCTTCTTTACAAAAATTAAAATAGCTGATCAAGAATTAATTCGGTTTATGTAAAACCAGTGGTGTATCTAGGGTGGAGCAAGGGGGGACACCTGTCTCCACACGCAGCATCCAGGGGGAACCAAACTGATAATAAGACATTCTAAAATGAAATGTTTTTAGTTCTTGGCACACAGAAGATGACACAAAATCTTCAGTTGTCCTTGGGTGCTGAAAACCCTAGCTGCGCCTCTGCTTAAAAACCAAAGGCGAAGTTCTTGTGAGTGTGTTGTGACAACATGCTATCTAGTTTTGCCACTAAATAACACGATTTGGTGACAATGTATATTTGCTAATAATATAATGAGCTTCTAGAATGGTGTTACAAATATCTCATTGACGTAATTTTTTGCAGAAAATTTTTTTTCTAACATTTTAAAATATTCCAGTTTAGTTGAGCTTTTATTATACTCTGCTGTCCAGTAAAAATTTACTTATTATCTTTGATATTATATTTATTTTTATATTTTTATGTTAATTATACTTCTAATTTATAGGTACTTGATATTTTTTGATGATGGATATGCTCAGTATGTTTATCATGAAGACGTGTTTGTTGTGCTTTCTCAAAGTAAGGAAAATTCTTTTATGTTTAAACATTACTATAAATCATGATTTTTTTATAATGATTGAAATTTTGTCATATATGTTGATCAATTGTCTAAAAAATCCCATTCAATATTAATTTAATTTAATAAAATGGCAGCATATTTCATAAAATTAGTACAGTCAAAAGTCTTTAATCCAGATCTCAAAGCTACAAACTTTCTGCGCACATATGTGTTTATGCACAATGCGCGTTTAATGTATAACAGACGGTATAAGCTAAGCTAAAATTATCTAATTATCTATTTCAGTTGATGTTGCAGATTGCAATTTTCCTTAATCTTCTAATTGGATCCAGCTTATTATTTTTTGCAGACTGTTAGAGCAATTTTATAAAAGTAAGCTTCAACTTTCGATTATGTCAAAAAGAATTTGCGACTCTGGAGCTACCAAAGGATGTACAAAGTGAAAGCACGTTTCGATGTCCATCAAACAAAAAGTGGAATTGCTGCAAAAAATGGATAAAGGATTTGATTCTCTAACCATTCCGAAATATGTTCATCAATTTCATGCTGCTCTGCGTGGGAGGGGGGTATGTCGTGGCACGCAATGAACTGGAAGTTTATCTGTCAACACTAGCATTATCTTCAGAGCAGATGTTTTTATTTTATTCGGCTTATAATTCTTTACTAAATATAGTATTTCATTTCGATGTACTCCATCTTTGATATGATTTAAATCAAATTCCTCGTCATTATAAATATCACGAATACACATCAAATAGTTTTCTGGTTGCAATTTTCTAATTTTGACTATGCGTAATGTATGCTTTACACATGCGCGCGTTGAAAGAAATGTTTAGTAATTTCTGAAATAAAATAAAATGAAAGAAATGTTTAATAATTTCTGAAATAAAATAAAATGAAAGGAATGTTGAAAGAAATGTTTAATAATAAAGTAAACAAATAAATATTAAGCTTTTTTTGTAAATTTTGATACCCTTTAGATCATAATTGCTCTTTATTTCATAAATTATGGTTTCATATTTATAATTTTATAATTTCTCCATGTCATCTTACCAGATTTAAACTGATGATCTATAATCCAGAAAAACCGATAATCCGGAATCGCCAAAGTTCCGACGAGTCCGGATTAAAGACTTTTGACTGTATTTGACTTTGAAATGCAGTTTGAAAGATTATATACAATACACGCACACACACATATGAAAACTAAGTGTCAATTTGCATTCCAATCTTCTAAATCATCTGTGTGTGTGTGTGTTTGCAAGAATTTAGATGCTGATTAACAAAAAGAGTTGATTCATGAACAATTAGGTACAATCATGGCAGGTTGATAACACATTTTTTATATAGAGAGGGTTTTTTTTAAAAAACAGTTAGGTTGGAAGTTCTTGAATATATTTGACAAATAAAAGAACAATCACTGTTAGTAAGGAAGCTGTAAAAAGAAGGGGAGATGAAAATTTGTAAATTATACTTTCAAGGGCAGGATAAGACTGATTAAGTTTTAATTTTGTTTTTATTGGTGTTTTAGATTTCCATTCACAAGTTTTAATAATATTAGCTGAAACATTGTGTAAGTATCTGTGTCATTAACATTGTGTAAATGCCATGTCTTATAGATTAATACTGTTAATCATGCAATTTAATAATTCAGCAATTTTGTATTTGATGCTTATGGAAAAATTTTATCTGCATTAATTAGTGAATAAATTGGTTAATGTTGTGAAAGCTTATGAAGATGATATGAGTATTATGAATCTGACGAAGTTAGTGTAAATGATTTTAAATGTAAGCTATTAAAAAGGTATAAATTTAAATGGGTTAGCAATACTCTTGTAACTGAAAACACCACCTCATGAACTTGAACTTTTTTTCTAATTCCAAGGTGGATGGACATGGATAAATGATGTAATTCATTTAGAATATTTAACCTTAAACTCACAGGGATAGCCAGTCTAAGCTCGTAATTTTGATTTGCAATCTTTGCGTAAAATAACCAGTTATCAAGGAGTTCATAGTTTTCTGCTCTATTCCGTATTGTTGTAATGTCAGGGTGTTCAAAATGATGTAGATCCTTTAGATAAAAATACGTTTTTAAATGTGGGATCCATTTTCAATTTTTCTATAGTTGTCTCGCTTAAGTGAAGTATTTTCCTTGTCAGCATAGCACTTTTTACCATGTTTCCTTTGCCATCAAACGTTATTCTATTTTCCTTCCCCGGGATGTGTTTTATTATTAAACTAAAAAATTTAAATGGCCTTGGAAACGGTCTTGGCGACATATTCTGTTCTCAATATAAACTTCCTGCACCACATGGTCTGAATAAACTATAATCGGTGACTTTCCAGAGTAAACTAGGAATGTTTGTACAACTGACCAAACTGCAAGCATTTCTTGCTCTGGTTCTTGCTAGTTTCTCTGTGTGGATTAAGCATTTTACTAAAATGCACCACTGGTTGCATGAGAACAACTCCCACTGCATAATCTGAGGCACCTGTCAAGATTTTGTCACCTTTCGAAAATTTTAATACATGCTTTTGTATTAGGGCCTGTTTTAATTTTTCGAATGCCGCATTGATCTCAGCTGACCAAGTAAACCAGGTTTTCTTTTTCTTTAAGTGTAATAATAGTTTAGCTATTTGCATATTAATTTGCATATTTAATGAAACACATGCCTAAGAATGAAAATAAGTTTCTTTACTGTGTTATTTGGAGGATAGTTTTTAATCGCAATTATTTTTTAATCTTCTCTTTCAATGCCTTTACTAGATATTTTGTATCCTAAGTAATGGTGCTCTGGAGTAGTGAACTTACATTTGGTGGAATTTATTTTTAGTCTGGCTTCATTTAGGGCTGAAAATACTTCATGTAAATCTTTAATATGCTGGTTGGTGTTTTTCTCATAACTATTGTATCATCCAAGTAAATGAAAGTCTTTTTCCTGAACACTGGTGGCAAGATAATGTTTATTGATAATGTTATTATTGGACATGGTACACACTGAAAAGTGGCAAGCACCCTGCATAACCCGAACAGCATTCTTAAAAAACAGCGGACTTTGTAATGAATGCTGTTAGGCACGTCTTTAGGTTTCAAGCCAATTTGAAAATATCCGGATGTTAGATCCAACGTTAACACAGATTTTGTATATTTAATTTTTTGATTGATTTCTTTAATTATGAGCAAGGGATAGACAAGGTACTTGGTTATACTGTTTAGATTTATATAATCAATGGAAAATCACCATGTTTTGTGATTGGTAGGTGGAAGATCATTTCCCCCCCCCTACACAGCACCACCAGGCTAACATAAGGACTGCTGATAGGGGTTATAATTGTGTTTTTTTTTAACATATCTTGGACATTGTTCTCAATTATTTTCTCTTTTATTTTATCATAACGATAAGCAGCTGCAGTGCCCATATCTGTTATACAATTAACAATGTGAATGTACCTGGACTGTCATAAAAACAATTTAAAAATTCACTTCTCAAGGTTTTTATTTTCTGTTTTTCTTCCGGCCCCAAATGTCCAGCGGTTAACTGGACTTCCTGGACTCTTCTATCGTCAACTTTATTCATCTGCAACTGTAAGATAAAATCACAGAAATTAAGATGAGCCCCTGCTGCTTTTAAAAAGTCTACCCGTAAGATGGCGATGGCAGATTTTGCTCTGCAAAGAAAATCACTTTAAGAGTTTCATTTTTTTGCTTGTACATGCAGTAGTATTTTACCATTACATGTACCATGTTTGCCTTGTGGTCTATGTTTGCAGAAATATCTTTGAAAGAAACTGCTTGGGCTTTGGTATCAATCAGTACTTCTGCAGGGATACTGACACTATTTCACTATTGACAGTATCCAAGTATCTTATTTTTATAGTATTTAATTTTTGAGGGATATTCTTTATTTCAGGCAGGGCTGCACCTTCTTGTCACCAGCACCTGTTTCAACTTGTCCCCTTGCTTTTGGTTTGCTTCTTTTTGGCCTCAGCTACTTTTGGTTGAAGTCTTTCCTCTTTTCTAAAATTGCTTCTTTGGTCTCACACTTTGGGCCAACTAAAGTGTGATTTTCATGAGGGATTGGCTTAAAGCTTCATTCCTTTGGCCTCTCACCATACCCTGCCATTCGGTTTTTTCTGTCACGCATCGATTTGGACTTTAATTTGAATAGGCTTTCCAATGCTACTGGATTTCAAAGCTCAAACTAATCTTGCACTTGGGGTAGTAGTTGGAGAAGTATTACTTGAATAATTTCTTCATCAGGCCTCTTGCTGTACAACAAATGAAAAATTTAGGCTTTCCTTAGAAAGAAGTCCTTGACTTTATACTAGAACCTTATTAAATAGGCTACCTTTGACAATGAGGAACACTTTAATTAGGGTATTTTTAAATTTTTAAATTATAGCTGTTACTGCTTGGCTCACCTAACACGAATTTGCCAAATTACTTATACTATGTAGAAGCCTAGCCTCTAAGTATGAACATGGCAATAGTAACTTTCTGTGCTTCTGGTACTGGGTGCAGAAGAAAATGCAAATTTAATTCAATAAAATTTAAAACTGAGGTCTTTCCATCAAAAGTTGCTGCTGGTTTGCTAGCAGCTCTAAGGGTGTCAACAATAAATCCTAATCCCTTCATGGGATTAACTATAGCCAGCGAGACTTGCGATGTTGAGAGAATCATGCTTAATGGTGAAGTTTCGTGTAATGTAGTTCTTAATGTTTAGGCACCAACATAATGTGGGGTATTCTTAGTGAGCATAAACTAAATAGACTGTGAAGAGAATTATCCCCAAGTACGGCAAAGCTCAGAAAAAGGGTGTAAAGGGCCCTTTATTAACTCAATACTATTTACAAATAGCATTGTTGTAAATGTAGTAAATCATTTCTTTAAGAAGCTCAAATAAAGCTTTAATCACCTGCACATAAAATAGAACACTAAATGCTACATTAAACGAAGAATAACTGTTGCCATTCTATTTAATATAATCTTTAGTGC